TAAGATTCAATGGTTGCGGGTAACATGTAGGGTAATTGGGTCGAGCAACGAGTTTTCCTACAATACTCACACCCGGCCCGACCTGGGGTTAGAGTAGCATATTTCTACTTGAACCCAACCCAAAACCCAATCATCTCGGGTTTACCTGACTCGAAAATGCAGGTAACTCGCGGGTAACCCGACCCTACGGGTTTTATTGACATTCTTACTCCATTTATATTTAAAAGAGAGAGAGGAAATTGATTCAAATGAGAATGAGGCATAATGAAAGACATAAAGATAAATTCGCACTATATCCATCAAGTCAACGGTCATGATCAAGTTAAATTTTAATAAGTGCCAGTCAAACATGTGCGAGCACACGTACACACATACTCAACACACACACAACTTTACACACTCTAGTTACAATTATGCAAGTGGATGAATAGTGAAATAAAATGATGCGATATTTAAGAATGATTGATTTATAATATTTAATTATAATAAATAATATTAAGGATAGCAGAGTTGAGATAAAATTAAGTTAGATTTTGAGTATGAAATACGTGTGAACAAATTATTTCATAACAAGCATGCCCTAAGTCTATCCTTGATAGTGTATGACCTAATAGTGTCAATTCAAATAAGTTAGTCTAACAATAATAGTATATTTTGACAATGTATATAAACATTAATATAATAACCCAACTCCTAACATTTTTCTTAGTAGTGATGTGCTACAAATTTATGATTTTGCCTCTTTATTCTTTTTATTTAGTATATAACAAGTTTTTATTTAAAACTTCGGTGCAACTAGAGTTGCGTAGTTTTCCTAAATCATAAAACTGATTAATGAACCAAAACCGTGTAACTATATGCTAGATTTGTTTTTTAGATTACCAGATTTAAATCAATAATGCAATCCTATGACATATATTTGTGCAATTTTATCAAAAAGGCAATGATGAGACCAGATTCATTGATAATGTTGAAACCAGTCCATGTCCAACTAAAAATTATAGATTTTTGTTTATATTGAAAATGTGCACCTACACATTAAATTGTGTCTACCATTACATATCATAATTTCGTAATCTCTCAATGTCGTATGATAATCGCAGTAAGTTCGATCCTACCGTCGTGGGTAATAGTTAAATGTACTATCACAAGCACCGAGTGTTTTGATTCAAATCCTCGTGGGAGCAATGCCTAGTGAAAAGTTCACCATTTTCTCCTACCACTGAAAATATTAAACGGTGAGATTGTTGTTAGACAGATTTAAAAGTTTGATAGATTTGCTTTATTTAAGGATATACATATTTTTACAAACAAATAATATACTCTAAAAAATAATATAAACAAAAATATGACATTTCTCTATATAAATATTTAATTTAGTTCAACAAATATAAGGAGTCGACCCGCTTAGCTGTTAGACCGTTAAATACCAAAAAAAAAAAAAATGTGCCATAAATTAAATTGTATTTACAAAAGATGGAGATTGTCGTTTATGTTATTTTGACCTATATTTTATTATTTCATATTACTTTTACAATAATTAAAATAACTTGTCAATTAACAAATATCTTGTTGTGGCTCATTCACGTAGGGTGTTGACATAGTCGGGCTCTAGGCTTTACCTCCTTTCTTGTAAAAAAAAAAAATAAATATCTTGTTGTGGCTACTGGCTAGTGAACTATAATAATGAAAGTAGCAAGTGAGGTGGGATCCCTAGGATCTTCAGTTTTGTGATTTCCTTTTCCAACCTAATACGGGAATTTGAACCTACTCCTCACACATTCACACTTTAATCTAGAGGTGGCCAGTTGGCCAAGGCCCGGCCCGCCGGGCCACGGGCCCTCATATACATGGCACGTGACCAGTCCGCTATGAACTAAGGGCCGGTTCATAAAATTGGTCCGAATCGCCGATTCATACGACCCTTAAAAAAAGTAACAAGGTGGCCCACCGTCCGACTCGTGGCCTGACCCGACTAAGCCCGGACCGGTAGGACAAAAAAAAAAAAGAGTAGGGACCGAACCGCAACCTTAAGGATCCAGTTCACGGCCGGTTAGGGCCGGGCCGATGCCTGATCACAGGCAGGTTCACGGATCGGTTCGGCCCGTGGCCATGTCTTAATCACACACTACTAGCTAGCTGGTTAAAGTTTGATGCATGTAAATTATACTCTAAAATATAGAAAAAAGATCTTCCCCCATGCTCGATTTAGACTCATTTTTTTTCGCACTTTCCAGCTTTCAAAGCTTAGACCCACTCCAATTTCGGCTGATTGTTTGTTGGATTCACCAAAGCCTGAAACTTTTAACCAGTCTATTATTTCCTCGTTCATTTCTCTTGTTCTTGACATGAATTAAGATTGTCAGCTCTTGTTAACAAGTCTTGGTTCTTGAAATATCCGCCGCCTCTCAAAGGGTTTTTTTTTTTTTAATTTTTTTTTTCCAACATCTTTTGAATCCTGAGATCTTTTCTTTTCCTTGTCACCCACAAAAGTGTTCCTTTTTCTGATCTGGGTTTTGGTTAAAGTGAGTAAAGGTGAGATTTTTAACCTTAAAGATTCTAGCTTTTCTTGGGGGCTTCCTTTTGAGAATCCTAAAGTAGTTTTTCTTTTGTGATGTCAATTATTTCCCAAGATCTCATCCATTGAACAACATTTTTTTGTTGATTTTTTATTTTTTCTTTACACAGACAGATGGATTCCTGTTGTGCCGCCACTCCCATTAAAGCTAAGGTGCTGCCAGCTCCAATCAATGGGGGCTTAAGAAAGTGCGACACTGGCTTTTGGGGAGAGAGAATTAGGGTGGGATTAAACGACGTCGCTTTTGGAGCCAGGCTCGCGAAGAAGCTCAGCGGAATAAGAGTAAGAAATACGAAGCCGGGAGTTGCTTTCTCTGTCCATACGCGTGATATAAACAGAGAAATGGCAGTAAGATTGGCAAAATTCTGATGAAATTCGTTCTTTCTTGGCCGCCGGTTAATGTGGGTTTGTAATTGCACTATGATTTTCAGGCGTGTGAATCTTCATATCAAGAAGAGAGCCCAAAGGCCGACCCATCGACTGTGGCCTCAATAATTCTGGGCGGAGGCGCCGGCACTCGTCTCTTCCCTCTTACTAGCAAAAGAGCCAAACCAGCTGTAAGATCAAGAAACTTCTATATTTGATTTAACTTTAATTAAAATTTTAAGTGCCTCTGGTGTAGGGTGGGGAATTGGCGTTTTTTCTTTGAGATCAGTCGTATTCACAATCACGAGCTTATGGTGATTTTTTTATATAAAAAAATTGCAATCTTTGCAGGTTCCAATTGGTGGTTGCTATAGGCTAATTGATGTGCCTATGAGCAACTGCATCAATAGTGGGATTAGAAAGATTTTCATATTAACTCAGTTTAATTCTTTCTCCCTCAATCGACACCTTGCTCGGACTTATAATTTCGGAAATGGTGTGAGCTTCGGAGATGGTTTTGTGGAGGTGAGAAGACTTCTATGACGAGGAAGTTCTTGTTTTTTGAATGCCTTTTGGACTCGGAAAACTTTTTTTTGTTATTAGTTTTGAATCATGTGAATGATTAATTTGGATATTAGGTTCTAGCTGCCACTCAGACATCGGGGGAAGCAGGAAAAAGATGGTTTCAAGGGACAGCCGATGCTGTTCGGCAATTTATATGGGTTTTTGAGGCGAGTGGTTCAAAAATTTACTCTTTTGGATCATTTTTTTTTTAATTTTTTAGTTTTATTTTCTTGTGGAGTCATTTTTCAGTTGGGACTAACTTGGTTGATATGTACATATGTTTATATAGGATGCAAAAAATAAAAATGTCGAGCATATATTAATTTTGTCGGGCGACCATCTTTATCGAATGGACTACATGGACTTTGTCCAGGTACTTTGGTGGCTCAACTTACAATATGTCAATTTTCTCCGAGTCATTACTTCTGCTTGTTTGATTATCAATTTCAAATGTGATTTTGCAGAAACATCTTGATACAAATGCAGATATTACTGTTTCTTGTGTGCCCATGGATGATAGGTATGTAAAATCATTATTTCAAATTTAATTCTCACTAAAAGGAACAAAACACGCCTAGAAATGAGTTCATTTCTACCAGTTTAAATTACCTCACATATTTTGCATCATCACATTTTCTGTTTTTATGGCTTTGTCGGCATCTTTCCTAGTGACCAAGAGTCTGTTGATATATTGTAGCATATAAAGCTTATGAATAATACTGTCATGATGGAACACTTTCTTCAAATTCATTTATTTATTTTTTTTAATAAATTTATTTTCCTACTGCAGTCGAGCCTCAGATTATGGGCTAATGAAAATTGACGAAACTGGCCGAATCATTCATTTCTCAGAGAAACCAAAGGGTTCTGCTCTAAAGTCTATGGTAATCAGCAGCCCTTACATTACGACCTTTATAGATTTATTATAAAATTGTAATTTATCTGCATTCGGAAGGTTTTTTTTTTCACATGTTATTATAATTTTTTTCCACAAGTTTTCTTCACTCTTTTGGCTATGTTCGATGATGTCATGCAGCAAGTCGATACCTCTCTTCTGGGACTTTCTAATGAAGAAGCTGCACAATTTCCTTACATTGCATCAATGGGAGTGTACGTATTTAGGACAGATGTTCTATTAAAACTTCTGAAGTCGACTTATCCCTCATGCAATGACTTCGGATCCGAGATTATTCCTTCAGCTGTGAAGGATCATAATGTTCAGGTGGGCATTTGAGTTTACTCACATTTTATGGTTTAGTACAAGACTATATCAAGATACAAACATCAAGGGTGTTAATGTTATTGTAAACGCTTTAGGGGAGAATGTGTTATTTCGAACAAGAACTTGTGTCTTTGTTTAATTAGAGACTTTAGAGGAACCTTTGTAATTTTTCCCAAATACTTTATTTTCTGCTTTAAGTGTTTTCATGTGACAGGCGCATTTGTTTACAAACTACTGGGAAGATATAGGAACCATAAGGTCATTTTTTGATGCCAATTTGGCCCTTACTGATCAGGTTCCTTTTTTTTTCCATAATAATATTGCAGTTCTAAATCTTGTAAGAAAAACCTCCTAGGCAACTTTAATGAAAATGTGATCCCATGTTCTCTTTTACAGCCAGCTAAATTTGATTTTAATGATCCAAAAACACCTTTCTACACGTCTCCAAGATTCTTGCCGCCTACTAAAGTCGAAAAATGCAGGGTATGTTATAAATGATGCTTTTTTCTTTTTTTTATAATTGTGGTGGTAGCTTTTTGTTCTGAAGCATGTTATGGAATATCTGCTTGTTTGTTTGTGTATGGGTTTGTTTATTTCAGATAGTGAATGCAATAGTTTCACACGGTTGCTTCTTGCGAGAATGTAGCGTCGAGCACTCTATTGTAGGTGTAAGATCACGATTGGACTTTAATGTGGAGCTTAAGGTAATTACTTTGGAAAATTATATAAAATGAGTTGTACATGCACTTTGTTCAACTGAAAATATTTTTATATTTATTTTGTCGATTTATGTTGATGGATCTCTCACAAAAGGGAGTAATTTTGGGACAACTATTTTTACTTTTGATAAGATAACAACTAATATATGACTACTTAAAGAAGAAATAATTTGTCTTTTCAGGATACTCTTATGATGGGTGCTGATAATTATCAAACAGAATCTGAAATTGCAGCTGCTTTGGCAGAAGGAAAAGTTCCCATTGGTGTTGGTCAAAATACCAAAATCAGGTAGTAAACCTTGTTTCGTTTTTAAATTATCGTTTATGAAATTTACTATCCAGGTGTATTCTTAATGAAATTGTGTATGTAATTTCCTTTGCTTTACCTTTAAACAGGCAAACAGAAAGATTTTTTATATATATTTATAAATAAACTTTTTCTCATTCCCTGGTTCGAAAGATTACTTTTTCTGATTCAAATTTAATTTGATGCTGTAATAAACTCGGAGAAGATAACTTCATTTTTCCTTTTTTATTTAGTGTCTGCTGATAATGTTACATTACATTACATTACTCTGATTTTCTATCTGTATTTTGCCTTGGAAGAAATTGTATAATAGACAAGAATGCAAAGATCGGAAAAGATGTGATCATCGCAAACAAAGATGTAAGTTCCCTTCTCACTCACTCTCTTCACCAATCACCATAATAAATAATTTATTAAATCCATACATTTTGATCAATAAAAAATTTTCTTGATTTGCTGTGAACTTTTGCACCAGTGCGTCGAGGAAGCTGACAGAGCTGAAGAGGGATTTTACATTCGAGATGGGATCACAGTCATACTAAAGAACTCCACCATTAAAGATGGAACTATCATATGAAAAAAACTCAGGTCAAGCCAATAACTCTCTTGTGTAAATAACATGCATGGAGAAAAAAAGAAAAAAAAATCAAGACTCATAAAAATTTCGGTTTATCGTGCAATTTTCGAATTTCATTAAGTTTCTGACATTGTTCTGCAATCAACCGGGCTGTTGAAGGGCTTTCAGTGAACACTATCTCGTAGCCATCCCGAAAGCTGTCCATATTTTCGGTTAAAAGCTGCCAGAAAAGGGCACCTGCAGCCACACCTCCATCTCTGGCAGAAGAATAAATCGATGTGTAAACCGTGCTAAAAAGCTCGTCTCTCTTTTTGGTGGTGTACTCTGTGTCCTTTGACGACTTTCCGAATTCGGCAATAAGGAGTGGCTTCTGGAGAATGGTCTGTGTGTCTTGAATATGTTTATCGAGCCAATCTTTGAGAAACGAGAGCTGGTCTTCATCAGTTTGGCCATTTAACCTGTGTCCATTTTGATTTATAACAGAACTTTTTCAGACACCTTCATTTTTTATTTTTTTTTTCTCATTTTTTTTAGAGAAAATGAGATGTTTTCATGCATAACATTAAGACACGGTTAAGTATATTACCATTGGTCAGGGTACGAGTGAAGGGTGGCGAAATCTATGTCCGGAATTTGATTGTTCGTTATGAAATCTGTTCCGATTTTGAAATTTAAATTCTGTTGCTCTTCTGGTTTTCTGTAGAAGCCTTCGAGTCCTGCCTCGAGCAGATGTTGAGGGTCTATGGACTTCAGGTAAGATGCCATCTCTTCAATCCAAGCCTGAGAAAAATAAAACACAAAACTTAGATTATTATATATATTTTTTTTTATTATTATTATTATATATTTTTGAGGGCAAAAGTAAAAAAGGGACCTGAATTATAGTTGCTGATGGATCTGTGGGGCATCTTGGCTCATTCATAAGCTCCCAAGCCATAATTGTTGGGTCATCCTTGTAAGCAATTCCAGTTATGTTGTTTTGTCTTGTAAGAACAGTCTGAAAATCAACAACTTTGTACTTAAAAAAAAAAAAATTGTAAATTTATGAAATCTCTTACCTATTGAGGCAAATGGTAAGAGACATTTGTAAATTCTTTGCTTCACTTCAATTTACACATCTGATTACATTGAAGGGTTAATTACAAAACAGCCCATGATTTTGTTGGGGTGTTCACAAAATTTCAAAATTACAAAAACAGATCATTGAGGTTTGGTTGTTATTGCATTTTTTATTTTTTCAAATTGCATTTACTGTTCAAATAAATAAATAAAAAAAAAAAAAACTCTTGTTCTATACAAGTTTTCAGTTTTGCTATGGAGCTATCGGATGGTTCAGCTTATGGAGTCACCCATAGTTATTCACATATAGTGTATTGACACGTGTTCTACAATATATACACTTTGGACATGTGTCTATACATTTACTGATCGATGGCTCCATAAGAAAATCATCCGATGACTCCATAGAATTTTTGTACAAATTTTACCTTAATGTGGTTCTTATAGTATTCCTTTACAACTGTGTTTGTAAAGAACTCATCATCAGAAACTATGTCATGCCCCTGATCTCTTGCCCACTTCACATACTGTCTTTTTCCACCAGAGTCCTCATAGTTATTCACCAGGCTCAAAATCAGCTTAATCCCATATCTCCCAGCTTCAGAAATCACAAAATCCAACCCCTATCCAAAAAAATAAAAAGATAAAAAATAAAAAAATTGTGAAGTACTCATATTTATACAATTCTTGAATCAGACAAAATTTGAACTAAAAAGTGGAAAAAAAAAATACACAAAATAAATAAATAAATAAGTCCCGTTACGGAAACATTCCGTTGGGTTTGCAAGCGTTAGATCATCATGTAACCATCACGGATAGTTGATCTAACGGTTACAAACTCCGACGGAATGGTTCCGTAACTGGACTGTAGCATCTCCCGTAAGTTTGAGTATGACATATATACCAGAAACATATGTTCATTGTAATAGCCTGGAGAGTACTGCAAAGGGGAATACCCACCATCTCCAAAAGCCCAAGCTCTTGCAATCAAGAGGCCATAATTTGCAGCTTCTTGAAATGCAAAAGTGATTTTATCTCTCTGAGATGGATCAGATGCCACATACATTAACCAGTATGCATTAAACCCATTTGCATAAAATGGGCTGCCATTTAGCATGAAATGCCCTCTTTCTGTTCTCACAAATAATCCATCTTCTGCTATGACTTGTGATGAAAAGTTGTTGTGTTCTTGGATCAACACAAAATTCAATAAGATTATCAATGTGTATGAAGTCCTCATTCTTATTTGTTGCTCTTTTTTTTTTTGCCTTTTTTTTTTAATTCCTTCCTACAAGTTTGTAACTTGTTCCTCTATGGTATTTAAGAGTCATATTTTTCCTCCCCTCATATTGTGCCAAGTTATATAATGTTGGTATGGCTCATATATTGAGAAAGGAAGAGGGCAGGCTGATGCCTGCGAGCGTAACGGAGCGAACGTAGTGAGGGAAGCGGAGCGACCAAGCGAAGTGAGCGGAGTGGAGCGACCAAGCGAAGTGAGCGGAGTGGACCGTAGCTTAAATTTCGTGTGTCATATTGTCATCTTCACTCAACATATAAAGTATAGGAAAATGCTACGGTCCCGTTACGTAATCATTCCGTCAAGGTTTGTGACCGTTAGATCAACTATCCCCGATGGTTACATGATGATCTAATGGTTACAAACCTCGAATGATTTCGTAACGGGACCTTACATGTCCCTAAAGTATATATGTACAATTTGCAATATTGTTGCCTACTTCAATGTGTTGTTTTGAAATTTAAGCAAAAGGGTGTTAGCCCACATACTTTATAGTATAGTTGTATTTTGCATTTGCAAAAGGCAAATAGCATTCATCATCACGTGTAATGAGTAATGAAGAGTAGGAAATAGGCATACATTCATCATCTTCCTTTTTTTTTTTT